CCAGTGTTACTCTCAGGTTTTATACAGTAGGCCAGACAGGCCTGTCATTTTCAGATTAAAGACTGGAAACTCGTGGTGTGGTAAAATTCTGCATTGATTCGTGGGAACATAATTCAGCCATTAAAGAGATTCACAAGGAAATATTTTTGCCTGTTGCCTTTAAGGAATGAAACGTAGAGTTTTTAAGTCATCCTGCACTGTGAACTCATTAAAACAAATCCTGTGTCATCCATTTAGTGCTTGAGTTTCGTTTAAAGAAGTCCAGAAATAATTTTTGTCACGTTTCACAGAACAGGGCTGCACAACCAGCTTAACTCTCTCTGAGAACATGGATTATAGCTTGCATATTGTGGTAAAATTTTAAATGGTTTCTGCAGAGATTTTGAATCAAACCCCACCTTGGCCAGTGTTAAATTCCTCTACCATGATTTAGAACAAACCATCTGTTTCTGCTTGATTCTGTAAAGTCATGAAGAAATAATCAAGTGCAAATGTCAAAACAGAAGTCTGTATGATCAAAACGTAATCTAGCGGATTTAAATATTACAGATAGAATTATTCTTATAATCCTTGTCATTTTTCATTCTCATAAAAATGGTGAAAAGCTTGTCAACCGTATTTCCCTCTAAAAGTTGATGGTTGACTGTGTAAATGTTTCGGTTACACCAGAAAATAATCAAATTTTTACAGCAGAATGTCTGAACATAAATAATCTTCAAGTTTATTTCTGCTTGGCATCAAATTACCCACGGCCTGTTGGGAAAACACCCATCGATCTTCTCATTTATCTTTTGGACATTTAGTGACATTGATTCAGCTTTTTGGCCTTTTCTCCATCATTCAACACCAGTCCACCATATCTTCATTTTTCTATCCAACCGCTTATGCCAACCTGTTTCACTACCAAGTAGGAGGGGTTTAGATGGACTACAGCTATTTTACTGCAAATAACAACTTCACAGAGCAAAAATTGGAAAACTAATTAGAACTAAAAAGTAATTTTGGTAGCTCGTAATCTTTAAATGGCCTCTTTAGCTATTGTAAAACTGTTTATTTTAAATAACTTATGTTATTCTTTTATAAATTGGTCCATTTTTTCCACCATCTTAACCCTGTGCAGGGTTATGAGGCATAAGTATAATCCCTAATCAGGATAATCACTGTGAAATAAATAAAATAAAAAAATCACTGTAAAGCAACTTTGACTGTGCTGCTGATTATCCATGCTGCTGATCTCATGCTACTGATTATTTCATGCTGCTGTATTCATTCATTTGTACTCATCCACCCAAAAAGACTCATATCCGTGCTGCTGCTGTTCTGTGTATTGTTTTGCACTATCAGTGACTAGCATACAGTAACATCCAATAAAATTAATTTTTATGTTAGTTTGGATCAAAGCATGAAAGAGCCGCATGTGGCTCCAGAGCCGCAGGTTGCAGACCCCTGAATGACCGACCGAAGCAACACCTTCATTACTGTGGACAAGGTCCAGAAACGTCGATCCATCTCTCACTCCATCCTACCATCACTCATGGTTTTATTTTTTTTTCATTTAGCCTTTATTTATCCAGGTAGTCTCATTGCGCCACGAGAATTCATTTCCAAGAGAGACCTGTTTAGGGAGCAGATGGGGGTTAAGGGCCTTGCTCAAGAGCCCAGAGTGGGGCAAATGAGGGTGGGGGCAAGTGTGGGTACTTCACCTACCCCACCCACATTTTTGATGTTGTCGGTACCGGGGCGTGAACCAGCGATCTTCCGATCACGGGCCCACCTTCTCTAGCCTCTGCGCCACCACTCCCTCATGATGAAAACACCCAAATAATTGAATTCCTCCCACCTGAGGCAAAGACTCCCCACCTGACTGGAGGGGGAACTCCACCCGTTTCCAGTCAAGAACCATGGCCTCAGACTTAGAGGAGCTGACTCTCATCCCAGCTGCTTCACTCTCAGCTGAGAACAGTAAATAAACCCTACAAGGTTGTATTGAGTTTTTTATTTTAACTCCAAAAATGGCCAACAAAAACCCTTCAGAACATGGACATGTACAGTTTATAAATCATAAAAAGCTTCACTTGTCATCTTTCCATGACAGAGCAGGATACGTACCTCTCCTTTAAAGACATTCTCTTGTAGGAAATTCACATCATCCTTTCCAGGAACGCTGTCCTTGAGGCTGAAACAAAATCATTTCTTTTAATGACTACATTGGCCATAAAGGTGAAAAAGCACTCAGCTAAGTTTCAATGAGAAGTCAATGGCCTTGAAAGATGTAATCTAGGTGCTTGATCTCTTTCAGCTCGGGCCAGCGCTCACTTTGGTAGCATGTGTGACTTTTACACACAGATCCTCAGCATTTTACAGTCAGGTCTCGTCCTGCGAACATAAAACAGCATCGTGCTCCGCTACGAATCAGCAACTCTATCCACGCCGTAACTCACTTAATGGAATTAAATCCATCTGTCTGAATTTAGCTGCAGTCAGCAGTATTACTCTCTCCCCTTTAGGCAAATAGCCCTTGACTGGAGACTGTTCATCTTTGGTGCAGCAAGGTTATGATCCTCAAAGATATTAGTTGTCTGACTCACACTAGCATGTTGTATATCATTTATGTCTCAATTTACTAAATATATAGATTTAGGCTTCAAGTTACGTACTGAAGTTGCTTCTGGTTTTGATTCTAAAACCTCTTCTCGCTGTCGTCACCTTCAGCAGGACTATGACTTTATCTGGTTCAGGGCACTGAATCCAATAAATCTCCTTCAAAAAGCCTAAAGGGATGGTTCAGATCATTTAAAGCACAGTTCTGTGCAAAGAGTTATAAACAAACAACATCTTACCTGCTGTAGATAGCTCTTTGAACAACGTATTGGGACAAATAGAGTTTAATTTCTAACAGAACTAATGAGCTAAGGACTAATCTGAATGGAAGCAAGACCAATAAAGTGGATTGCTGCTGTTTTAAAACAGCTCAAATCTTAAAAGTGTCAGCATGGGCCATGTAAATGTGATTTTAAAGCCCTTTAAAAAGCCATTTGTTGGATCGTTTAATTATCCTATCATCAACTCATTCATATTCATATCATCAGCCACACAGGATGCAAGAAGAAAACTCTAACTCACACACATGGTTCTATATTAATTTGACATTAGGAAGTACAAAACATCCATGACCTTTACATCCCTCATCACCATTATTAGTAGTGTTAGAACAAACTGCTTTGACATTTTTGAGAGAAGTCCGTTGTGGTCTTGGCCTCTTTTAAGGAGCCAATAAGGTTCTGGAGACTTGTTTACAACTCATAAGAGTGAGAAAACACCAAGTGAATGAGATTTGTAGTCTCCCTGACCAGCGAGACTTGCGGCTACACTTTTAGTGAGGACTTTTGAGAAATCAAAGCTAAAATTTGCATGCACAGCTCATTCCCAG